CGGCGTTCCACTTGCCGCCCCGGACCAGCTCCGGAGGTGCCAACGCTGTCCCAGCCCCACCCGCGCGGCCTCACCCTCCGGCCCGGCACATCGGCCGCCTCTCCTGCGCCCTGGACCCCGCTGCCTGCGCCCGGCCCCAGATGTTAAAGCTCGCAACCGGCGGGAGCATGGGCCAACCAGATGTGCTCTGGGCGCAGGGGGCGCGAGCAACCCGCCCTTCCGATGGGCAGAGCCTCGCCTCCGCCCACCCCGTAGGCGCAGCCGACCCAGAAGAGATCCCGGCTGCTCCAGCTGTGCTCGGCTTCCGGAAACCTACTCTTCTGCGCTCGTCCTTGCAAAATTGGAGATCAGAGAAAGGAGGAAGAAGCTTTAAAAAATGGCTGCGGCCCCTTTAAGACCTGCCCGTTTCCTTTTCCTTTTCCTCTCTCCGCCCCTTTGCATCGGATCGTACCAAAGCACAGAGGGAGAAGAGGGAGCAAAGAACCATCGGCGCCGAGCCAAAGGAGGAACTGAAGAAGAAAAGGGCAAAAGAAAGGCAGCCTAAATGAGTATCTCTTTTTTTCTTTTTTACGAAGGATATGACTTCCTGACGGCAAAGATAAAGGGTTAAGATTCCGCCCTCCTGAGTCTTCGCCTCCCCTGGAAACAAGGCTAGTTGGTACAGTCCACATTCTCCTTCCCCGCCCCCTAACGCCCTGGCCTCATTTGCTCTCGCCGGCTCCTGGAGGGGAGAGGCTAGAGAGGCTTCAGAGCGGCCCAGGACTGGCTTGCTTCTGGCTTCTAGGGACACCCTAGTGGTGGGAGGATCGGGCCCACCCTACGTTATCCTCCCAAACTTAAGCCTCTAGCGCTGGGGTCACCCCCTCCAGTGAGGGACCTGGAGGACGCTGGAGGGGAGGTCGAGGAACGAACTTTGCATGCTAAGAAAATGTCCTCATCTTTGGTTCTAGAATCTCTAATCTCCTAGCAACGGGGCTGTAGAATCTTCACAAACATTAAGGTTTTTATAGCAACGGGTAGCGGCGCCTCCCGGGCTCCCCCTCTTTCCATTTTCCCCTTCCCATCTCCTCCCCTTCCCCCTTGATCCATAATAGGGGCCCCCTTAGACCGCTCCGTCTCCCCCTCCTGCCGAGTACCCCAAGATTTCAACCTATCTGCCAGGTCTGGGGCGGCGAGTAGGCTGCCTTGGCTTGGGAAGGGCCTTGGGAGGAAAGATGGAGGAAGAGGCTTACTGGGCTTGTGGTTTTGTGAGAGTCATCTCTCCAGCCCCAAAAAGTTTAGGGCTGAGATTACATATATACCTATACCCTCTCCCACCCAGAGAGAGGAGAAAATTGAGACCATGGGATGTTTCTTCCAAGAGCATTGATTAAACCTTGGCTCTGGGAATGGAGGTCAGCTTAGTTCTTGGGAAAGCAGGCTGGCTTCTCAGCCTAACACAGGCTTTGACTGTTCACAGGGGATGGCATCCACTCCTACCAGGAATGACGAAAAAAAGAGCAGCTGGCTGTCTCAAACTGCGTCCTCCTTGAGTGGAGGGCAGGTGAGCACCTAAGGGGAGCTCTGGAGGTGGGAATGTAATGAGGTGAGGAGGCCCCAGGCAGACGCAGCTGGTCTGAGCTGCAAGCCCTGGGACACTAACCTCCGTCCTGAGCCCTGAGCCTCCCTCAGACTGCTCCTCACAGGTCTAGGGCCTTCTAGTCAAATCTCAAGGCTCCACCATCCAAAACAGACTCTTCAGCCCTAGAGCCTCCAGCTGGGAAGCCCCCAGACCCAGCATTCTGAGGCTTTACAGAAGTTTTCACACTCAGATCTTCTGACTTCCTTTCCCAGAAGGTTTCAATATCTCGTTCTGAGGAATTCCTGACTCGGATCAGCAACGAACTTACAGAGGAGGCCTTGTTTATAGCTGGCTGCCACATGAATCCTGTGCCCACTGAGGAAAAGCAGACAAAAGACCAAGGGACTCAGATATCCAGTCACGGTGACCTCCACCTCAGGACTGCTGTGTCTAGAGGCCCTCCCATATGCTTGGTTCCAGTCCCTGACCCTCTCCTGACCATAGCTGACCTCTCCAGGAATCTGTGCCTGAGTGGCCTGTCTCAGAGCTGGTCCTAGGCACAGTGCCCCATAAACCCTAACCTAGTACCCCCTCTTCACTGCTGGCCAGAAATTCCCTTGGCCCCTCTGCCCTAGCCATATCTCTTGCTGCCCTTGGGTTGGGCATAGTCATTTCTCTAACTGGGGCCTCTGCTTCCAGTGCTCTTCACCATGACTGGAGGCACAGACACCTGGTGAGTGAGGCTTCATGGAGCTGTCCTTTGTCCTGGGAAAAAGATAAAGAACCTATAGGGGAGAGAGCAAGGGTTTGGCAAACATTCCAGCGGGGTAGAGGGATTTTAGAACCATGCAGTTCTATTTTATTCTGCTCTGATCCTCAAATTCAGAGTTCTCATTCAACCTTCTCCTTTCTCTTCTGCCATCTCCAGCTCTGACAGAGACCATATCCACACCAAGGCACACCGGCTATCCCTTCGTGATAAGGTATCTATGAGACTGTTCAGTATTAACAAAACATTTAGAGTTTGCACTATGTGCCAGTACTTGCTTTAGGAACTTGGGTCACAGAAATATAAAATAGAGTCTCAGCCTTTGAATTATTCACAGTTTAATGTGAGGACAGACAATTAAATGGCTAATTACAATATAGTATGGACACAATGAGAAATGGAAACAATGAGAAGAATACTTCTATCCCAACTTAAATTAGGACAGGAAGGAAAGGAATCATGGAGCTTCCTGGAGACACCTAATGAATTTTCCAGGAGAACACTGGACATGGTAGTGCAATGCTTGTAATCCTAGTGGCGTGGGAGGCTGAGGCAGGAGGATTGCAAGTTCAAAGCCAGCTTCAGCAACTTAGTGAGGCCCTAAGCAACTTAGCAAGACCCTATCTCAAAATAAAAATTAAAAAGGGCTGGGGGTCTGGCTCAGTGAACCCCCTGGGTTCAATCCCTGGTAAAAAAAAAAAAAAATGCAAGAAAACAAGGGCTGGTGGGAGTACTCCAAGTAGTAGAAATTCCATGAGTAAAGGCAGAGATATATTTTAGAAGGGTGAGTGTAAGCAGATGCATGTGCACTTAGGGTGGAGGATAGGGCCTGAAGCAGCTTAACCCCTGGAATATGCAGGCAAGGTAGACAGGGACTAACCAAGAGACCTGTGTGTGCCTTGTTAAGATCATAGACATTTTTCTATAGGTAAGAAACCATTGAAGAGTTGGAGTAAGAAGTGAGAATTTTATATCAGTCACTTTGATAGTCACTGGAAAGGGGGGAAGACCGGAGGCAGGGAGGCCAGTTAGGAATTACTGCAAAGAAACCAAACTAGAGATGATGGTCCTAACCTGGACAGTAATGGTAGAGATGGGAGGAGGAGCCCTGATTAGAAATGGTAGAGGGAAAAAGGGAATCAGACGACTGCCAAGTTTCTGACTTGGGCAACCTGAGTCTGATCATGTCATGTTTCCTCTTGGAACTCTACGGTATCTTCCAATTTTTGTAAAAGCCAGTGTCCTTCAGTGCTCACATGGCCCAGCATGAGCACTCCACAACTCTTGTCTCTGTGATTTCATTGTCTGTAACTTCTCCACTTATTTCCCTGTCTCTGCACCTGGGCCTTCTCATTCTTTCTGGAACATGGCAAGCATGTTTCCGACTTTAGGCAGGAAATGTTTTTATTACTTTATCTAAGTGTGTTTATCGTGCTCATGGGGGACTCCAGGTGGAAATATTCTATAGACAGACAGCTGGAAATATGGATTCTACACTCAAAGGATAGATCTAGGCTAGTGATTGAGAGTTGACCCTGAGGTCATGAGGAGGGAGCTGGCAGTGGAAGGGAGAGTATGTGGTGGCCCTGTGAGGCTTTGGGTAGAGTAAGAAAGGAAAAGGTATTAAGGGTGGAGCCCTGGAGAACTCCCTGTAATAGATTGGCAGAAGAGGAAAGAAGGATTCAGGGAGAAGGAACTGAAGCCAACAGATGTTTATTGAGTATGATGTGCCAGGTTCATCAAGCCTTGGGGACAAGTCATTTTTCTGACATGGGCCACTACTTCAAGTATTAATCACCAAACTTGAGGCAAAATACAGCCGAGAATAAGCCACTTCTCTTGTCTTTAAGGAGCTGATATTTTTAGTGTCTTTGGGACATTAGATCTCTCCTAATGGGGCTGGTATTAGAAATAGTTTGAATAATCAGAAAAGCCCCAGCCTTAATAATTTATCTGCTAACTTATGTAAGTTGCTTTCCTTCTTCCTCCATCCCAAGATGCTCTGTGAGGACCTGCCAGTCCGTACAGTGGTTTCCCCTCCTTCCCAGATGACACTTGATTAAGGATTTCATCCTGAGCAAACATCTTTCCCTCATCCACCTGCCAGCCCCCCATGATTTCAGGAGACTTTTTCTTGCTTACCTTCAAAGAAGAACCTGGAAGCCTTTGAATTGCCCTTTGAATTGTTGGCATTGCGGCTAATCAAAAATGTTAGGAGAGGGAATGGGTGAGTAGATGGGGAGGTAGGTAAATGGTGAATGGGTAAATGTATGTATTCATTGAACATATATTAAGCACTTACTGTGTTCTAGTACTTCTCTAGAGGGTGAAGTATAGCAGTGAACAAAACAGAATCCCTACTGGTAAGGAGTTTAAAAGGGGCAGAGTGAGTGAGTAGATGAAAGAGAGGTGAGTGGGTGGCTGGATAGATGGGGGTAGATGGATGAGTGAGTGGAAAGGCAGATGGAGAATGATGGATAGATATGCAGATGGATGGGTGGAAGGAGAATGTGGGTGGGTGGGAGATGGAGAGATGGATAGGAAACGGTGGATGAATAAATGGGTGGGTGGTGCATGGGTTTGATGGATGGGTAAAGGATGGAAAGATGGTAAGACATAAGCTTTGGGTCTAAAGAGTCAAAAGCTGTCTTCCAGAGAGTTCTCCCCACAGTTTGACATTCTATTAGCCCAATTCTTTTTGGTGCTGTTCTTGGTCTCTCATGCCCTCCCCCATTTTTCCCTCTAGAACATGCCTCAAAACTCCTCTTTCAAAACTTGTTAAATACTTCATTTGGGTGGGGGGATTCCTGGTCATGAGCAGTGCCACCCTGGAAGCCAAGGAAATGTTCTGGATGCATCGCACAGATCTCCATCTTCAGCCAACAAAGATACCACCAGGAAGCAAAGGCTTTAATAAAGTCATGGGGTTCTTCCCCTTCCCCCCAATTCAGGAAGTGCTCTGGTGTTGCTTCTCTGGGGTGGAGGTCCAGATATGGTTGCTGGATATAAGCATGCAGTTGGGATGGTTTTCATTTAGACGCTTCTCTGTCAGCCAGTTGGCGGAATTGATGTCATGGATGCCCACCCATCCTTACAGCTAGAATCTTACAGTCTAGGGCTATGACATCTGGGAGGGTCCCCTCTTGCTTCCAAGGAGCAGCAACCAAAGGTTGCTGAGGATCCTGATCCATGACCTTTCACTTGGACCCTGGGGCCTCACACCTACAGGAACATATCACACACATTACTAGCCAGAAAGCACTGCAGGCGGCTTTGTACATTTCACTCACAACTTGGCCACTTATTTGGGCCTCCTGAAGAAGTTGATTGACCACCCTGAGCCTCAGTTTCATTATCTAAAAAATGGGAATAAGTTGACCATTTTCACAGGATTCTCATAAGAATTAAAAAACATAATGAATGCAAAGTGCTTAGCACAGTGCCCGGCTGGCTCAACAGCTAACAGCCTATTATCAAGATCAGTTTGTCTCATTCACCTCTCTTTGAATATTTTAGCATCCTTTTAAGTGTCCTGAAAATGTTCAGTTGTACTGAGATATATAAATTTAATTAGTAAAAGTCAGTTAATTTGGAGAAAGGCCCTTTAGACAAATAGGCTATAAATTGGGCTGGGGAGCTGAGCATGCTGACACATTTCTGTAATCTTAGCAACTCCCACTGGGTATGATGGTGCACATCTGTAATCCCAGCAAATTAGGAGTCTGAGGCAGGAGGATCACAGGCTTGAAGCCAACCCCAGGAATTTACTGAGGCTATGAGTAATTTAGTGAGACCCTGTCTTACAATAAAAAATTAAAAGAGCTTGGGAATGTCGCTCAGTGGTAAAGCACCCCTGGGTTCAATCCCTGGTACCAAAAAAAAAAAAAAAAATCCTAGCCACTCAGAAGGCCAAGGCAAGAAGATCACAAGTTTGAGGCCATCCTCTACAAAAAGACTTTAGGATATATCTCAGTGGAATAGTGCCCCTGGGTTCAGTCTCCCTTACTACAATAAATAAAATTGGGCTGGGGGTGTAACGCAGTGGTAGAGCGCATGCTTTGCATAGTAGAGCCCTTGAGTTTGTTTGCCAGCATAGAAACAAAAAACAAAAATGCTATAAATTGCTTAGAATGTTCAAAAGTAGATTGGATATTATAGAAGAAAAGGATACCTATAAACTCAGGCTAAGTAGGCACTTTACAGCAGGGATTCTGCAAATGCAGAGGTAATGGTTTACATGAACTCTCAAAGGCACTGAAGTTTAGATAAATCGGTCATGAAGCAAACAGAGTTGTCTGCCTCCTGCCTTACAGTGAGCAGAGAGGGGTAGCTACTGTCACCTGCCAGTAACTTCAAGGCCTGCTGGAGAATCTAGAAGTCCCAGCCAGTCTTCCAGAGGCTGAGCCAAAAAGTCAGGACTTTTTGAGGCCAGGCCAGTGCCTGTGACATTGACCTGCCAAGTTTTGATTTCTGTTTTCCAAATATTTCCCCTTCCCCAAGCCTCTCTCCAGAAAGATCACCATCACCATCTCTAATATTTTGTGGCCCACCTTCCCATACCCCTGACCAGCCCAGTTACAAGTGATGATTTTCCATTTATTGCTCAAAAACAAAAATCCAGAAGCAAAGGTGGAGAAATTGTGGGTTCGGGACACAGCAGGAACAGGGAGGGGCTTTGGCCCAGCTGTCCCCCTCATCCTTCCTCTTCTCACCCTCCAAGGCCCAGGAGTTAGGCATCTGGGAGGAGAGAAGCCTACAAGGCCAAGGGAACAGTAGAGCAGTTGGGGCAGTCCTTCAGGGGTGCCCTGGGTGGGAGGGGGTCCCAAGAGTTGCAAGGGCACTGAGTTCCCCTCCCAGGGTCCAAAAGCCAGTGGGGCAGGGGGCAGGCCCCTTGTTTGGCAACTGAGAAAAGGAGCCTTTGGGCGGCAGGATGCTGGTTTATTTACTGTAGGGTCTCCAGGGCCATCAAAACCCCCTTGTGGGACAGGGAGATTATTTACACAACAGGGAGGAGGGAAGCCAGGAGCCAGAGACCAGGTCCTGTGCTCCCCACTGCCCTGAATGAGGAGGGAACGGGTGTCCTGGGTCCTGCAGCCTTAGTCTTGGCATTCAGATGGAAACTTCATACTCCCGTGTATCCTGAAGACAGAGAGATCAGATCAGTTGTTGAAGTGAGAAGGAAGGGAAGGGGTGGAAAAATGGGAGGAGGCATGGATGAGGAGGGGGAAAGACCCTTGGTTTTTAAAGTAATATTGAATCATAGGGGACTGGGGGGTCACAAAGTGAGAATGAGGCTGAATCTGGACAATGGATTTGTTTGGTTCATCCTTTCATGTCTTAAAAAAAACAACATAAAAATCTGAGTTTCTGAGTTGTCTTGAACAGTTGGAGGATTTGGCAACTGGGCTTGAGTGTCCACTATGGGTTATCGCTGTAGCCTTTGGATGGGCACCATTTCTCCAGTTGGCCACAGTCCCCACCACTCCCTATTGTTCACACACAGCTTGCTTTGCTCATTGGCATGGCCTTTTGTAGGCAGCTGAGTTTAAAGTTCCCAAAAAAAGAGATCACAGAGATTTGAGAGAAGGTTATGGAGTCCTGGGGGGAGCTGAGAGATGTGGCACTGCAGGGGAAGGGGAGGGGCTCACCCCAGCTTCATACAGCGGGTTGCTGAAGTCTGACTCCACCGTGATGGGGCTGTAGGAGTGGGAGCCTGAGAAACCAAACAGGGATTTTCCCTGGAGCCTAGAAAAGGGAGGGAACAGAGAGGGTTTTATCAGCAGGTGAGACCTTAAGCTCCTCTCATCTGGCCTTCCATGCATGTCATTTGCCCCAGAGGGCAGTTCCCTGGGAAGGGTACTTACTTGGTATAGTATATGTAAACGCCACTGCCAAGGACAATGACCAAGCCAAGGGGTAGCAGGATGGCCAAGGCGAGGTTCCCACCCTCCAGCTGCCGCGATGGGTCTGTAGTCTGGGTCACTGGGGAAGGAGGAGAGGCCAGTGAGCAGATGCTGGGCCCAGTCCTGGGCTCTCCCAGCCTCCTGCCCTGGGCCCTGAACCCTGGGCCTCACCCCTCCGGGGCCTGGCCTTCTACCCCCGGCCTCTGCCTTGCCCTCCCGACCTGGCCAGGCCTGGGCCTCCACCTTGCCCTCACTGACCTTCCAGTTTTCGGTTGTCCAGGAGCTCCTCATAGGCCACTGCAGGGAGAGGAGGGGGAGGGGGACGGGGTCTGAGCCAGGGAGGGAAGGAGGCTGGGTAAAGGGTCAGAGCCCAGTGGGGCTGGGCTGGACTGCCTGGTTCTCTGCCCTTTGCTCCCTTGGTGGGGGAGAGAGGACTGATCCCGGCAGGGCCGTCTTCCTTCTCCAGACCCCTAAGGTTCAAGGTTCCTGAACATTCTGAGCCAACCAGGTCTTTAGAATTCGTCAGCCATGGGGACACTGAGACCTATCTAGAGTGGGCAAAGGACTTCCAAACCAAGGCCCCCTCTACTACATCCCTTAAGAGAATTCTGTGACCTCAGATTTCCTCAGGACGTCTGGACATGCCTGTGAGGATGAGCCCACAGGAAGAGAAGAGGGAGCTCAGTGGGGTTACCCATTGGTCTTGAATTTTCTATCCAACTTTCCCAGCCCTGTCAGTCCCTGGACACTGACGTGCCCCTCCTGCTCTGTCTGCCCAGGCACCTTTGCAGAGCGGGGGCTGGCTGGTCCACTGTGAGGGGTGGCCCGGCACACAGGTGATGGTGACCTCGCCGATGAGCTCAAAGCCTTCGTAGCAGAAGAAGCGCAGAGACTCGCCAGCCTGGTAGTGATGCTTGTACAAGGTCTGGTAGCCATTCTCTGGAACGCCGGGGTTCAGGCACGGCTCGTACTTCACTGCAGGGAGCAGGCCAGTCAACATGCCACTGGTGTTACTGCGCAGGCCCAGCAAGGGCCTGCAGGCTGTTGCCAAAGTTACCCAGCCCCCTTCCTGGAGGTTCCCCAGACTCACAGGCACACTTGGGGACCCGGTCGCTCCACTTGGGTGTGCCTGTGTCTCGGCTATAGCAGGTAAGCACGGCTGCCCCCTCCAGGCTGTACCCTGGCAGACAGCGGTACTGGACATGGGAGCCAACAGGGAAGCCAGCGTCTGAGGCCGTCCGGTGCCCGTTGGTGATCTCACCAGGGTCAGCACAAGTCATGACTGGTGGCAGAAGAGCAAGATCGGGGGAATGAGGGCCTTAAAAGATCTACCTGGAACTTAGGGCTGGGAGAGGCCTGTACGTCAGGCCACCTCCACTAAACAACCCCCTCCCACCTCCTGTGAATTCCTCAGAAGGAACAGGGCGTGAATTAGAAAAATTTAATTCCATATGTTTCGGGCTTTTTTTTGGAAAACAGGGTGATTGGGCAACCCAATCCTGGGGTAAAATTCAAAATATTTAATCACAACACCAGAACATGCCAGCTAAATCCCAGCATTGTCAACCCAGCATGGCAGATCACCAGGCAGGACAGCAGCCTATCTCTCAGTTTCATTTTTTTTTCTTTTATGGTACTGGGGGTTAAATTGAGGGGCTATACTACTGAGCTACACCCCGAAGTCTTCTTTATTTTTTATTCTGCGATTCTGAGACAGTATCTCACTAAATTGCTTAGGGACTTGCTAAGTTGCTGAGGCTGGCCTTGAACTTGTGATCCTCCCAAGTTGCCTGGATTACAGGCTTGTACCACCACACCTGACTCCCCACATTCTCATTATGCCCAGTGGCTTTGCTCACTTATACTGCTTGCATTTGAGTTTACAACCCTATTATGTAAGATCATAATCATAGTCATTTATTGTAGATAAAAACTCGTGCCAGGCACCCTGATAAGTATTTTACAAACATAATATTTAACCCAGATAATCCAAACAAGTCAATGTCACTGTCCTTTCTCTTGGGGCCCAGAACTTAGCACTCTAGGCAGACTCATCTGAGCTGGAATCTGCTCAGAGACACAGCCATGAAGCACTGGATAGAGATACAGAGATGTGGGTCTCAGCTTGAGGCTCTCCTGAGTCAGCTGGGCCAGCCCACCCCAGCCTGTATGCCCAGCATTCCAGATCTGGGGTGCCACATCAACTAGACAGTTTTCCTTGTGTCCAGTCCACTGATCTCACCATCTCCACCGTCCTAGGGGCCATGTGGAAGACCAACAATCCTACATCTTTGTAGCAGGCTTCCCAAAATTTGGAAAAAATGACAAGATGCTACCCCTTACTGGGCACTGTGGCCCAAGCCTGCAATCTCAGTGGCTGGGGAGGCTGAGGCAGGAGGATGGCAAGTTCAAAGTAAGCCTCAGCAACTTAGCAAGGCTCCGTCTGAAATTTAAAAAGAGAAAAAAGAAAAAAAAAGCCACCCCTTTCTGCTCTTCTAAAAGATGCACACTCCCAGCTTCTTTAAATGTCACCTCCTCTGAAATTGGCACCATCCCTGGGAGAATTAACCCACCACTCTTCCCACAAAGCTGCTTTATCCTTAAAGCCACTACTACTCACTCACAGTTTACCCCACAGCCCCGTGTGAAAACCTGACCTCCACATGCTCTTCCCAACCCGACTCCCACCTCACCCATGAGGAAGCCCAGGCTCAGAGATGGTAAGTACCTTGACCGAGTCACCCTCTGGCTACTACTTTATATTGTCCTTAGTTGTTTAGGTATCTGTCCCCCTCCCAGGCTGAGAGCATGGCCAGGATAGGGAGGGACCAGAATCCCATAATCCTGACCCAGCAGAGGGCCTCAGTGACTGCACTGAAGTAAACCAGGTACTTGGACAAGCCTTGGTCTTAGCAATGGGACTTCCCACAATGTCATCTGTTTGGAACTGAGAGCCTGTGGCCAGCTTAGAACAGAACCAAGAGGTGATGGGGTAGAGCCCAGGCAGAACCTGGGAGGGGTGGGACTCAGACTCTGCAGAGGTGGGATCAAGAGAGGAAGGCAGAGGTGGGATCAAGAGAGGAAGCGGGTGGGGCCATCAAACAATAAAATCAACTCAGGAAACCCCGGCAGAGTCCTGGTCTGTGAAACAGAGAGATGCAGCCCAGAGAAAATAAAAGCAGGAACCAGAGGGGTCCTAAATGGAGGCGTTGGACCTGAACAGGGGCAGGGCCTGAAGAAGATTCAGGCAGGAGCCAAGGGTGGAACCCAGGCAGTACAGGGACCCCAAAAAGGAAAGGGAGGGAGCAGGGTCCAAGCCAAGGGGAGAAACCCAGAGGTTGGGATGGGGCCCGCAGAGGACAAGGGCAGGGTCTAGCTCACTCTTTTGGCAGGCAGGTGGAGCAGCGCTCCAGGACAGGTCCCACTGACAGGTGAGAATGTCAGAGCCCAGCAGCTCGTAGCCAGGCTCACACTGGTAAGTGAGCACGGTGCCTCGAATCAGGTCCCCGTGGGATGCTGTCCTCCAGCCCCACTCGGGAGGCGGCAGCTCAGGGCAAGTGTCATTCCTCGGGACCTCTGCAGGGGAGAGATTGAGTTTGGGGGCTGCCCTTTGATTCAGCCTGGATGCCTTGACCCCAGTGCCCTCACACCTCCCAGAACTCTACCCATCTTGGGGTCCCTATCCCTGTGTACCTTTGAAGTGTAATACAAAGCCCTGGCCCAGGCCCGGATTTGGGGGCCCAGGAGGTGCCTGGAATTGGAGTGTGAGGTCGGGCCCAGAGGAGAGGAGGCGACGACGTGGTTGAGGTCCCCGCAACTGAGCCAGGACACGGGCGCTGGGACCATCCCCATCGAAAAGTGTCAACATGTCCCCTTCACGCACATTCAAGCTGCAGGGAATGGGATCAGAATATAAGATGGAGCAACGACTGGTCCCTCCCATCTGGTTCTGCCCAATCCCTAACTTTGTTCATTGGTAATCCGCCTACTTTCCAGCCCTGCCGCATAGTCCCCTCTCCCAGGTCTGGCACAGACTTAGTTTTGAGCAATCTTGAATTTCTTCTATGCTAGTCACTCTAGGTCCCACCTGTTCTATGGCTTCTCCCATTTCCCTCTTCCAAATCCCCAACCTTGCTCATTACTAGTTCCACCCACTCTCCAGTCCCTCCCCCACTCTCCAGTCCCTCCTCCATCACCGTGGGACGCCCAGCTACAGCTATGATGAATCACAGACCACACTCTTTGCTACCCCTCAATCCTCGTGGTGGGCCTAAGTACCTGCTTCGGGGGCTACACCCACTTCTGGTTCTGTCCATTCACAAGACCACCTCATACCAAATCAGCTCACTGGATTCTCCCCGCACCCACACCCACCTTGGGTGCCGGTGATGATCCAACAGTCTGGGCCTGGGTCTCTGGAAATAGCTCCAGGGCAGCCTCAGACACCTCCAGAGTGACAGACACCAGGCAGAGCCCTTGAGGAGGGCTGCATTACCCCTCTAGTTGTCCAAGGTCACCTGGCTAATAAGTGATTTGGCCCTAGGTTTCCCATCCCATCCTGAACCCTCAGTGGTCTCTTTCACAGGACCATAATCCATGTTGACATGGAAGAACCAGCCAGGTTCAGGATGCTAGTGCCCTGCTTAGGGAGCCCACCCCTATCATACCCTCTTCAGGACCCAAACATACATCTCAACTTGGAGCAAGATGCGCTTCTCTTCCTGGACGTGCATGCCCCACACGCAGTCCTGGCCGGGGCTGTAGCTCTGGGGCCAGTCGGGAGAGAGGACCACACCAGCTGGCTCTGACAGCTCCCCTCCACACATGGCTTAGGGCAGAAGAGGTGTGAGGTTTAGGACCCACAAGGGCACACAGTCTCCATTTGCAAAGGTCCTCACCACTCCCAGGGGTGTGCACCACCAGATCACTCATGTTTCCCAGTATCGATGACCCACCTGTTTCTTGTCACATCTAGATCTTGTACCCAATCTTCAGCCTTGCTCTTAACCCTGCACACTCACAAACTTAGACACCCAATCCATAACTCAGTCCAACTCTGGTTCCAGCTGCTGAAGACATCTGGGTTTATGAGCTCTGAATTTGGTCCCAAGCCTGTCAATTATTCAGCCTAGAAAACAGCCTCTGAGAGCACAGGAATTTCCTCAGGGCTTGGCTTTACTAGGTTTGAATATGCAAGGTCTCCTTCCCAAATGGACTTCTTGGGGACCCTGGTTCAGGGGGTAGTCTGAAGGACCTTGTAGGGTGTGGAGGGCTCACCCTTGCAGGCTGGTTCTGTGTCATTCCAGTGAGGTTCTGTGGGGTCCACACATTCGATGGCATTGGGGGGGCCTGGGGGCTCCAGAGCATATCCTGGGAGGCATGAGAAGGTGGCCAGTGCCCCTGGGCGGTACTCAGGGTCTGTGGTAGTAACGTTGCCATGTGCCAGGAAAGGGGCGAAGCAGCGATCCTCTTCAAAGGCTAGGGAGGAATCCATCACAAAAATTAAGCATTAAGAGTGAGTGGGCTGGAGATGTGGCTTAGGGATAGAGCATTTGCCTAGCATGTGTGAGGACCTGGGTGCTGTCCCCAGCACCACAAAGAAAGGAAAGGAAAATAAAATAAATTTAAGCATTAGGATAGGCCTCAGACCTCGATCTGGGAACTGGGACTGAATTCAGGTGTTTGGCCACTCAGTGGGTTTTTTTAAAAATGAACTGCTCTTGAGCTTAGCTTTTAGTCCCCAGTGTCAAAACCCAGAACATTCTTCACTCACACATTTATACTACCTCAATGGCCTTTGGAGGGAAACCCTAGACTAGTCAAATCCCAGCCACTATTCTACAGATGAGGAGGTCCACGGCCACACAGCCACATGCCCAAGGTCACTCACTCAGCAGGTAATGGCAGCACCAAGTCTCCAACCCAGATGGTTTGGTTCCCAGCCACAGACACGTGGCTCTTGGAATTGCAAGTGGGTGGGGGTGGGGAACAGGCTTGCGTAGGTGTGTTCTCTTCTCAAAAATAACAGTTGGATTCTGATCATCCATGCTGTTGCTAGAATCCAAAATTGCAGCTAAGGCAAAAGCTGCTCAGTTTTTACTTTGGACTAAGTCAGCAAAAAGGAATATTTGTAGGACATTCTTGTTTCTGTCCACCTGACAGCTGCAAAACTACCTGTGAGGTATGATGTCAGAGCCTTGTGATACAGATGGGGGATCTGACTCTCACGAAACAACAGTGGTTCACATCTGTGGAGGCAGGCCTCACAGCTGGAGACTGTCACCAAAAGACAGAGATCTTTGCACTTCAGTACTTTCACAATCTATCCTGTATTTTTCTTTTCCCTGCAGATTCACTGTTTTATTTCAATGTTACTTGAACTGATAAGGAATCATGTCCAAATCTTACTGATCCATCAGGGCCAGTGCCAATTCCATTTCTCTCATGATTCATACTAGAAACTAGTCCCCCACATCTCTGAGCATTTCTCTTTATCTCTCTCCTGATACTGTTCAGAGAAATCTTCTGCTGCAGCCACCTCGAAATCCTGTTTCCCAAACATACCAAGCACTTCTCTACCTCCTCCCCTTTGTCCCCACTATCCCATTCACCTGAGCTGCTTTTTCTTCCAGCTTCTTCTAAATTACCTTCCGTCCTTTAAGGCCAAGATTAAATGCCTCTTCTCCCATGGCCAGCCACCGACCTTATTTCTACCTGTCCAGAACCCCGTTCCTCCTTTTTCTCTTAAAGTCACCTTTATTTTCATTTTGAAAAACATGCCTTCCAGCCCAAGCAGTTCAGTTGGAGCCAACCAGAAATGGCCACATGAGGCTAATCTGTCAATCATAACACCATCTGCCCTTAGCCACAGTGATTGGCTCAGGCAAAGGCACAGGACCTTAACCAGGTCAATGAGGGCCTTTTCTGGCATTGTTCTGAAGCTCTCAGGAAAGATATGAGCTTCCACTTTCTCTGATGGAGTTACTAGGTAGGCAGTATGAAAGTCTGCAGCTAGGTCCATCACAGGGAAAGCCTGCCTGAGAATGAAGCCAATGCAAAATAGCAAAGAACCGAGAGACTGAGATAACTGGTTCCTTGGCTGTGTAACTGGGTCCAGCCATACATGAAGCTTAATCAGAAAAGGCTACCTCGGGGAATGAGAAGGGATCCTTTTGAGGGGGTAGGGGTACTGGGGATTGAACTCAGGGGCACTCAACCATTGAGCCACATCTCCGTTTTATATTTTATTTAGAGATAGGGTCTCGTGAGGCTGGCTTTGAACTCATGATCCTCCTACCTCAGCCTTTCGAGCTGCTGGGATTACAGGTGTGTGCCACCGTGCCCAGTGAGATGGGATTCTTATGAAGGGATCCTTGTAGTTTTGGGGTGGAAAGACAAATCATTTTTCAGGGATCTAACTACCGAGATGAGCAGGGAGGGAGTATGTGCTTATGCCATAAAGAGAAGGTGCGGAAGTTAGAGTCCAGTGGGGAAGTGAGACTATTACCTTCAAATCGGAGGCTGAGCAGCAGGGGATTAGCAGGTGTCTCTGAGAGCAACTCCACGTAGAGGGACTGGGCGTCACTGATGAGACCACGCTCTGGGACATCATCCATGTCAGAGTCATAGATCACAGGAGATAGGGGACTGCCCCCAGAGCGCACCATCAGCCTGGGATGAACAAAAGGTGGCCAGGAACATCAGCAGCTGCCCCACCTCTTATCTGCTCTCCAAGCTTATCTTTACAGCCACTATTATCAAACATTAACCATATGCCATGCATTCTTCTAAGCCCTTATGCATTTTATCTTGTTTAATTTTCATAAGAACCCTTGAGTCAAATACCATTATTATCCCTCATTTTATAGAGGAGGATATGGAGGCATACAAATTAAGTAATCTGCCCAAGAGCACAGAGCAAGTGGTGGCAGAGCTGGGATATCAGGGTATTAGATAAAGAATGATAATGAAGACGATGAGAGCAAACACTTTCATATTATAGTGCTTATTGTGTCCTAGGCATCACCATCCCAAGTTCTGACTGTGTGTCTGTCTCTCTCTCTGAGGATTGAACACAGGGGTGCTTAACCACTGAGTTGAACCCACAGGCGCTGAACCACCGAGCCTCATTTTACTTAGAGACAGGGTCTTACTGTGTTACTTAGAGCCTCACTAAATTGCTGAGGCTGGCTTTGAACTTGTGGTCCTCCTGCCTCAGCCTCCCAAGCCACTGGGATTACAGGTGTGTGCCACTGTGCCCAGCTACTTTGCATATCTTAATTAATTTATTAATTATGCCTGTAGAGTGATACCATCTCTATTCTACAGATAAAAAATTGAGTTACAGAAGTTAGCTGATTCATCCAAGGTTGCCCAGCTACATTCCCTAAGAAATGGTTAGGATTCAACTCTGTTTCACACATATTTCAACATGGATCCAGCTCGGATCTGACTCCCCACCGTAGCCTCCCTACTTCCCCCAGGTAGGGACCTCTGATTCAAGGCCCAGACCCTCACCGGTCATTGTCCTCATCCAGCGAGACCCTCTCAAAGTGCAAGTGCAGCCGGCGTCCCTCAGCTGCTTCAATGACCCAACGGCAGGTGAGGTTAGGCCCTGCGGCTCCCCCAGGCTCAGGAGACACGATGCGGCCCAGTGTAGCATTGTGGATGATGCCACCACAGGATGCTGTGGGCAGAGGAGGGCAGGTTAAGACCAGCTTAAGTGACTTGTCCTTCTCCTTGGGGCCTCAGCCTTTCTCAGAGCATCTTCAGAGCTTTTGCATCTACATCTGTGGGTTGGGCCAGGGATGGTCTCTGCCCCATGAATGCACTCCAGGGGGCGGGACCTTCTCCAGGGCATCATTGAGGAGGGGAACCAGACCTGAAATAGAACCCCTCCCCCACTGGATGGACTCTCCTGGGTTGGACGACCTCCAGAACGAAGAGTCTGCGAAAATGAAGATTCCCTGAACAGGACCACCCTGTGACTGTGAGTTATGGGACTCCCCCAAATTGAAACTCCCAGATGAGAGACATTCATGATGGGAATTCCCAAAATAAGGACACCACAGGATGGGAGATCACAGGAGGAAGACTCTCCAGGAGAGAGAACCACCAGAGATGGACCCCAAGATTGGTTTCCTCTAGGATGAGGGCTCTCCAAAAGAAAGAAGAGCCATCCCAAGAGGGGGAATACCCAAGAATGGAGGTTCTAAGGATAGAATCCTCAGTGGGAAGAACTCTCGAGGGATGCCAAAGGAGAGGGACTCTTTAGAAAAAAAAAAACCCTTCAGGATGAGTTTTTCCTGAAGACAGAGACTTCTACAAACGGACTCTCCCAATGAGGTTCCCAGAAAAGAAGCCATCAACTATTATGGCAGAGACTCACCCATGCAGCTAGGGGGCTCTCCATTCCAGGCTGGCCGGGTGCCATTGAGGCAGATGAGAGTCTCCTCACCCTGCAGCTGGTAGCCGGAATCACAGTGGAAGGTGGCAGTGCCACCAGGGTGTAGATCTGTCACACTGACGTCCCCATGGGCCGGCCGGGGAGGGAAGCCACAGCTCAGGAGGTAGGCTGAACCAGGAAGAACAGGGAGAAGGAGAATCCATTGTTCATGCCACCCTCTACAGCAGTCCCCCAGCACTTTCCCAGGAGACACAGACAGGCTGTATACTGGGGTCCACACTGAAGAATATGAGCTCCTTATACAGGTTCCCTGTCTCATGAAGAAGCCATTTCAACAGCTCTTCTCTCCTCTGATCTTTGTAATTTACCCATTTTGGCCTCCATTTTATAGATGAGGTAACTGAGGCTCAAAGATGTTATTCTGGAGGTGGACGTCATTACCCTAAGTACATGTATGAAGACATGAATGGTGTGAATATACTTTGTATACAACCAGAGATAGGAAAAATTGTTCTCTATATGTGTAACATGAACTGTAATACATTCTGCTGTCATATATAACAAATTGGAATAAAAAATCAAAGATTAAAAAACAAAGATGTTATTCTGGACCCACTGGCTATGTGGCCTCAGGCAAATCAACTGACTATTCCAGACTCCATCCAGCTCTAAGAATAATAAACAATATTTGCAGAGCTTGTTTAGCTTCCCAAGTAACTACATGCAGTACTTTTGAGGTAGACAAGAGAAACTGTGTTACCCATTTTCCAGATGTGGAAATTGAGGCTCCAAGTTACTAACTGACATGAAATTTCTTTAAGAATCTTGACTATTTGGTCATTAAAGATCTTTTTTTTATTAATTTTTTTATTAATTTTTTTTATTAAAGATCTTTATACTCAGTGTTCCCTGAACACATTCTCTAATGAAAATGAAGTGCTATGGAAAGCTTTGCTTTCTTTGAAAATCTGGTTTTCCTTTCTTGTAGTAAGAACTGCCTAACTTCCCTTTTTGCACTAGCTACCAGAAAGCTGGGAACAAGATTAAGGCTTGTCCTTAGCAACACTGACTTGTCAACTCACGTTTTTGTTCTGTTTTTTTTTTTTTTTTTCTGGTACTGGAGATTGAACCAAGGGATACTGTACCACTTAGCTACATTCCCAGCCCTTTAAAAAATTATTTTCCTTTTGAGACAGGAACTTGCTAAGTTGCTAAGGCTGGCCTCAAACTTGGTGATCCTCTAGTCACGGCCTCCTCAGTTGCTGGGATAATAGAAATGTGCTAGCACCTGGCCCAATCCTTTTAACTTTTAATTTTGAGACAGGGTCTTCCTAAGTTGTTTAAGTTGGCCTTGAACCTGCTATCCACTTGCCTCAGCCTCTGCAGTCACTTTGATTACAGGCATGTGCCACCATGCCTGGCCTATTTTTTTTTTTAACTCTAATAATCATTCTCTGATGCTGTTTTCTCCTTACTTATTCTATATAATTGTGTTGCTTGCATTCTTTTTAAAAGTCACTTGAAATTCTCACAGAAGCAAGAATATAATAGAATTCAATAGAAAGTCAGTTGTTAGTCAATTATTCTGAATCTGATCCTGACAGGAACTTAGCAGAGATCATCAAGGAGGGCTTCCTGGAGGAAGTGAGCCAAAGCTGGAGGGGCAGTCTCTGGTGAGCAGAGGGCTTGGGAGATGCCAGTTTGCCTGCCTGAGCTCTTGCCTTTCTTGACTCTCCAGCCTTCAGTGAGTCTGTAAGAGACCTACCCCTCCATATTTCAAAATTCAGTAAGCTCTTTCTTGGCCAGGTTGTGGGGACAGAGAGGAGGAGAAAAAAGATCCAGTCCTTGCCCTTCAGGAATCTACAGTCTACTGAGATAGACAGTTATAAAAACCATCTTTTAGAACACAGTGGCTTTCATAGTTGTTAGATTCTGTATTGGTCTCCGTGACCAACAGAATCAAGTCCGGATGCTTTGGATTGACATTCAAACCCCTTTCATGGCTGCATCCCGCTCAGCACTTTTTGGTCAGCACTTGAGACCCGGGTGTCCTTTTCAACACCTTTGTGATTCTTTACTGTCTCACCACCATATTTTTGCTCACAATTGTGCCCTTACTACAAAGCCCATTCTGGGCTCTTATCTTTCAAAGAGTAACTTAAGTCGGCTGTGGTGGTGTATACCTATAATCCCAGTGGCTCAGGAGGCTGAGGCAGGAGGATCCCAAATTCAAAGTCAGCCTCAGCAAGTTAGTGAGGACCTCAGTAACTTAGTGAGTCCCTGTCTCAGACTAAAAAATAAAAAGGGTGGGGATGTGGCTCAGTGGTTAAGTGCCCCTGGGATCAATCTCTGTTACCAAAAAAAAAAAAAAAAAAGAAAAACTAACTTAAGTACCACCCCTTCCAGGAAGACTTCCTGACCCCTCTTGCCTCCAATATTTACTTTCTCTCTTGCCTGTACACAATTTCATATTCAAATTTTACCATCATATTAGCCATTGTCTATTGTTACTATGAGACTGAGTCAAGTCTTTTTTTCTTATATTTTTTAGTTACACATGGACACAATATCTTTATTTTAGTTATTTTTATGTGGTGCTGAGTATCGAACCCAGTGCATCACATGTTCGAGGCAAGCGCTCTACCACTGAGCCACAACCCCAGCCTGAGTCAAGTCTTATTTATAGAGACAAAAAACCTAGTCTAACTGATCAATTTGGAGACTGGCTGACCTGGGTTCCTGTTCTAGCTCCACAGCTTAGAGCTATATGACTGAGCAAGTGACTTCACCGCTGGGGGCTTCTCACTCATTAATGGTAATAATTGTTAACAGTGAGGACTGGCTTGAAAATTAGATAAAAGATACATGCAAAGCCCCTGGCACTCAGAAAATGTTAGCCACCTCTCCCTTAGCCTCGATTAATGTATGATTGAGAGTCAAGAATTTAGAGATCTAATTGTTGACTCTGTGATGAACTTGCAGGTGGGTGACAAATTCATACAAACCTTCTTTCCTGAGAGACTGAACTGACAGTGTCAACTCCCAGGGTTGCTCTTAGGAGTAAATGAAACAATGGTAGGTAAAAGGGGTTTGTACTTAGGTTTTTTTTTTTGTGGGGGAGGGTACTGGGAAATGAACCCAGGGGTGCTTAACCCCTGAGCTACATCCCCAGCCCTTTTTATTTATTTATTTTTTTAATTTTGAGAAAGGGTCTCACTAAGTTCCTTAGGGGCTTACTAAATTGCTGAGGGTGGCCTTGAACTTCCTGCCTCAGCCTCCTGAGTTGCTGGGATTATAGCATGCACCACCATACCCAGCTACACGGCAAGTCTGATGGACTTGGATGAAGGGTGATAAAGCCTTTGACCCTTTTGGAATTGATAATGAGGCCACTCTGGACTACAGGCCCCAGTTAATGCAGTTAGGGAAGGACTTAAACAGGGCCTCATTCCCAGAGGTGCCTGGAGGAATTGCAAAGCAGGGAAGATGGAGGCAGGTAATGAAGGCCAATTTATGCAATAGCCCTGCTTCCCCAAATGTTCCATTTAGCCTAAAGAGTCCTATTTTCAAAGCTCCTGGGAAGTGGATGTTTAAAGGAGCCACTGGGGAGCCATTTTTGTAACATCTTTGGTGTGCTCTTGTTCCCCAGTAACCGAATTCCTACCACCAAGTATGTGCCCTAGCTCCCTGATCTCTCCACAAATAGGTCTGGTGGTGGTGGATGCTTCTACCTTGCACAATGTGCCCTGGGGCAGGTCCTGTGCAGAGGACATAAGGAAGGGATGTAGGTTATGTCCTGTAAGATGTACAAAGTATCTGGGGTCAGCAAAGCTCATAAGGTACGTATGGTACATGCACCCAGGCAAAGCCATGAAATGATATGATGGTGGAATTGGTCTAACAGACAGTTCTCTCTCTGTTCCTGAGGAGCACAGGGAGGGAACTTGAATAAGACAGCAGTGTTTGGAATGGGGACACTGGCTGAGACCTTTGCCTGGTGCGTTCTTGTATGCTAGAACATACACTTGCACTGTGGGAAGGTCCCTGTAGACACAGGTTAGCATGGATGCCACATGTATAGGAGATCTGTGGATGGATACTCAAGAATGCAGTCACACATGATATATTCTCTATCTTTGCTCCCAGAGGTCAGATGGAACTTTCTAGATCACAAACATGAGACTGTCATTTCCCTGCTTAAAATGTTTCTAGTGTTTCCCTCTCACTTGCAGGTTAAAGTGGTCTCAATTCCTTATGAGCTGATAAGGCCCTTTATGATCTGAACCCAACCTGATTCCAACCTGGTCTCTTAACCCATTTCTCCCTTTCCACTTTTAGTGCTTTGACTATAATAGTAATGACTGATTTTTTTTTTTTTTTTTTTGGTATTGGGGATTGAACTCAGGGGCACTTAACCACTGAGCCACATCCCCAGCCCTTTTTATTTTTTGAGACAGGGTCTCACTAAATTGCTTAGGGCCTTGCTAAATTGCTGAGGCTGACCTTGAACTTGAGTCCTCCTGCTTCAGCCTCCCAAATTGCTGGGATTACAGGAGTATGGCACTGCACCTGGAAATGACTGATGTTTTTGAGCTCGCACTGTGTACCAGACACTGTTATAAGTATTCATATCAACTCACTGGATCTTTCCAATAATATTGTGTGTTAAATTTTCTGATCCCTATCTTTCAGATGAGACCATGAATCACAGAATGTTTAAGTAAATTGTCTCAGGTCAGACAGCTAGAACAATTCTATCTTCCATGTTAAATGACTTCATCTTCTCTAGAGGTCAATTTTCTCTCCTCTCTGAATCCTGGGGTGTATTTTTACATTCATCTATTTTCAAAGACAGTTGTCTCCCTCTTTTTCTTCCTTCACCTGTCCCCTTGCTAACCCATCTGGTGGGTCCTAGCTTAGTCATCCTGCTCTAGGTCTTTTGATATTTGCTTCTCCTATCTCCATCATAACCCTTATTTCATTGAATCATAATAACTCTGATTACTTATCTATCTCTCTAGACAGATTCCAAGTTCCTTAAATTCAGATTTATACCTGATTCATTCATTCTTTCCCCTAAGTTGAATGGATCAATTGCTACTTGGATATGTGCACACCTAGGCACATATCTGTCAGTGTGTGAGATAAGTGTGCATGGGTCTTTCTGAGGACTCTGCCCACCTAGGGTCCTAGTCAAGAGGAAACCTCCTCCTCAATACTCTGCTTAGGAGGCCACCAGAGATGTCCCTTATACCCAATGTGGCCCCTGCCCTTCCACCAGCATCCCCAGACTCCTCACCCTGATAGTGGATTCTGAAGCCACCACCCCTTGGGACCCGTGGACTCTGGAAGTGCAGGAGCAGTCGATTGGTTGGGCTTCGAAGGACCTGTCCTTCTCCCAGCATGGAGGAGTTAGCAAGGAGTCGGGGGGCCAGTCCTGGGGACCCCCCACCAGCCAGCACCAAGAGTTCCTCCTCCTGAGACAGGTTCAGTGTCTGCACCTAGAAAAGCCAGTCACAGGCCAGGGCATGTCAGCCTGGGGAAGTGGCTCCCTAAGCCCTCTCCCCTTGCCTTCCCTTTCCCAGTCTGTAGCGACCCCACCCAGACCACAGGGATGTTGCCCATTTTGAAGAACTCTAGAAGGGTTTTTGAGATCATCTGAGTCAGAAAATAGGCCCATCTGAGTCAGAATACTGGTTTTCTGGCTTCCCAGCTAAAATGATGCACACCACTGAGCCCAGAGAAAAGGGATTGGAAGTTTCACAGTAATACGCCTTAGGTCCAGTTACCTGGATCTCAATTCCGTAGCCAGGGTAGACATGGATGCTGTATGTGCAGTCTAGGAGCCCCAAGGTGCGGCTGGCAGTGCTCCCCAAATCTGGAGACTCCACGTACCCTTCACCCTCGGAGATGTTGTTATTACACAGAACTAAAGAGATATAAGTGGCTGGGATTGAGAGAGGCCCTGTGCTCTTGCCCTCCCAGCTGAACAACTTCACAGGTCCTCATCTGTCTTCTCCCCAGCATCCCTCACCATCTTTATTCAATGCTCCCTCTCCCACCTGTACTGAGAGCTCCTTTCCCCAACTGTAATATAGACAGAAGACATAGAATGGCACCTGGCACATAGTAAGTGTATATAAATATTAGCTTTTGTCATTATTAAGCAGAAGCTCCTCTCCCATCTGGACCCAGAGCCCCTTCATCCACATACTCCAGACGACCTTTCCCCATCCATCCTGGCATCTTCCTCTCCCACATCCGTGCTCCTAGACATTACCCCCATCCCCTTTCCATGGCCTCACCTGGGCTGGTGACTGTAGTGGTGACAGTTGTCGTGGT